CTGTTGTCAGTGTAAAGTTAATAGTCTAGGGCATCACGTTTTAATGCTTCTAGTATTAACTATAGTGTTTAAAAATGTTATAGAAGTATAATCAGGTTGGTGTTGTGCTGAAGGCATGCTAAACTGTGCTGTGGGGATCTCTGTAGTCAAAATGTTTTACTGTTCACATCAGGCATCAGCATGAAATGTCCGTTGTCAAATTACACTAAATGGCAAGCAGTACGTACGTATTGGTGATAAATCAGATTCAGACTTCAGAGAACAATCTTAATAAGCAGGTGCTTATGCTGAGAATGGATGGGGAAGAAGCGAGCATTAGCAGTGTTCTGGCTTCAAAAATATTTCTGCAGTACTTTTATGTATTCTTGTCACTTTCTCATCAAGCTTTTTATTCTTTTGCCCTAAGTCTGATAGAGTTTGTTCTTCGCCCTTTCATTTCTGCCCTTGCTAGTTTTACTTTCTCTTCCTCTGTTTCAGTTTTCACTCCTTGTTTTTTCAGTCACGGTGTGCAGGCTTCTGCAAAATAGGAAACTGATGTTCTGCTCTCTGCAAACAGCCAGGATCAGGGCTCCTTTTACTCTCTTCCTATAGAGTTTGCTGTCGTGGAGAAGATCCTGACCTCCCTTTTTTTTGCTGATATTTCATTTCTAGAAGGGACGTTGTCTTCCTAGATGCTAGAACAGATGGATTGTGCAATGGTCCCAGTCTGAAAAGGGACAACAAAATTTGTAGGAAATTTGATAAATTTTGTGGGGTTAAAAAAAATATTCAATAAAAATATGCAGTGGAGCCATGGTAATCACTGATTTAGAGGCTCGATAAAGGCAAACTGCCGCCCTGTTCTCTGGCGGTGTGATTTAGCCTGTTTTGTTTGTTCTGTGGTGTTGAGTAGTAGAATTGAGAGTACACAGGCACGGTTACTTTTAACGATCACAGCACGAATTTCTGTAGTGTAACTGTTTTGAAAGAAAATACTGCAAATACTAAGATATTGTTAGGTGACTTAGGTGCTTCTACATCCCTCGGGAGAAGAGGAGATGGCAGCTCAGTTTAAAAAAGTTTTTCAGAGTAGACATGCTGAGCTCCGTTTTACTTGATGTACGATATGCCAGGCTGTGCATTATTGTTTTTCTTTTTTTATTAGAGAAAATGCTCTATTGGCCTTTTCCAAATAAGAAGCATTTTCCTTATTACATTCTCAACGAATAATGCAGTTAAGATATCTCACAATTGCCGATTGCATGAGTTTATCCTAGTCTTAGTGAAGAGTACAGCAATATATCATTTGAAGTTACCTTTTTAAAAACACAGTAGTTAAGTTACATTTGAAAGGAGAAGTGAATTCTGGAGGTCACAATGTGCGGAGGTTTCTTATTGTGGAGGTAAATGAAGTTGGTTTTCTTTATGGTGTTAACAGAATTAGTGTAACTAGCAGCTCCTATGACAGTATTTGTGTGTTGATACTGTATAAATACAGCATTTATGAAAAAATAAATGGAAAGTTTGAGGTCTTGGTTTAGATTTTTTGTTTGACCTTGAAAAACATTCCCAGATGGAGAGAGTTAAATGAGCCCAGCTCTGAAAGAGGAACATATGAATCACGGTTGCTAGGCTCTTCCTTGAGAGGCACAGGCTTTACATTTACAGTGAAGTATTTCAAAAAGTAATCTTTAAACTCGGAGGAGCAGTGCGTTTGAAATGACACTGGTGAAATACTATAAACTTCATTAGACTTTTAAATAGAGAATTTGCATGTCATTAAATGAAATAGGTATAAAGTATTAGAATATCAACTGCAAGACTTGTGAACTTTCATAAGTGGTGGAGGGGGGGAACAGAAAAATTAGGCATCTGTCTCCTACTGTTGGTACGTACTGCTTACGTAAGTTTTGTTAAACTAGTCTGTTTATTATTCTCTAATTTGTCGTTCTCATAACAGTGACGCGTAGTTTTTGCCCCATCGGAACACAGAAGTAAGATTTCCCTGAAACCTGCTCTTGCTCTGTTCAACCAAAATGGCAGCGAAGCACGTTAAACGCGTGGGAGCTCACTTGCCTGAGACTGAGGCTTCTGGGTTGGGATGTGTGGATTCCAGGTCTCTTCCAGTTGTCTTAACTGAGCTTGGTTGGGTCACACTCCTTATGGTTTCAAACCCATTGTTAAAACTAATGTTCAGGTCTCTGGGAAGTGTTGATATTACTTTTTGCCCACTGGTATCCAGTCCGTGGCCCTTACGGGCTGCTGTCGTGTGTTCACACAGTGCTCAGCATAGGCAGGTTCCAGTGTTGTTTGGGGTGCTATGGATTTCTCTAATAAAATGATTTGATTGTTTCTATTTCAAATAAATGCTTTGATAATAAAAAGCTATAGTTTATTTTACCTCATATGAGAAAACAAAAGGAATTGCATTTAGGACTCTAACCTTCACTACTTGCTCGCTGGTTATGTTTAGGTGCTGCTCTGTTATCGGGACTGCAGGGGTAGAAGATCTTTTACATTGATTTGTGTGATCTGGCTGGAATCTTGTGCGTGCCTTCCTTTGAAATCAGGGTTGTGATTTTGAGTGTGCAGCAAATCCTTTTTTCTGTGTCAAGTGGTTTTACTCTTAGAATGGTTCTTTATGACTTTGTATTTCCTAGTGTTTTGGCATTGTTTTCTGTTACTTGGAGCTTTGATTTTAAAACTCTGAAGATGTTCTTCACAGTGTAAAGGACACTTGTAAATTACTCAGATTTCTTGGGATCCCCAAACTGAAATAGGAAAACATTTTTGTTTACATCAATTTCTGTCGATTTGTTTCACTTGTTTAAAATTGCAGGTCTGTATTGCCAGCAAACATTCCTAACAGGATCCTTAGAGTGAGCATGATGTCTCAGACTGGTGTCAAGGAGTGCTTTATCTTGCAAGAGGCAGAAGTAGGCAATCCTTGTCTCCTATTAGCAATTTCCCCTCTGCCTTCTGTACAAGCTGGTGTAAAGTCTGCGAATCCAGCGTTGTCTGAAAGGTAGGGTTGTGAGAGCAGGTTACAGGGTGTGGGTTTACAGCTTGTTAGACATTATACAGTAGTAGCTTGTCTGTGTGCTATTAACAGTGTAAATAGCAGGCAGTGCGTGCTGTTATTGTCCCGTTCATCATGGTGTATTATTCCATGCAAATGGAAGTAACCCTGGAGTATTTGCTTGCCATGGGGAAACTTTTTATGCAGGCATACCCAAAGAGCTCCTGCATGGAATATTGGCAATGACATTTAAGTTTGTGGGGTTTTTTCCTTAACTAGCTTAATATTGAATGACAAAAGGTAGGTATCGAAAAATAGAAATTTATTATTCCTCTCTTACATTTATTTCCGCCCGCTTCCCCCCCCCCGGACTATATTGATGTGGTTTTGCCTAGTTTGCAGGAAGTTAGGTGTACCTGAGGTCTTAATAATTTATTAAAAAAAAAAAAAATCATATAAATTAAAACCAAAATGCTTTCTACTTAATGAAGAGCAGATTTATAATTTGTTTGTTTATTTAAGGTAACCTCAGTTGCTAAAAGGTGGCTGTGATTTAAATAAGTGTAGCTCTGGTCTCTATCACAGCCACGTCAAATGTCCATGGTCGTATTTGGGTCCAGTTGCAAAATCCAGTTGCAGCTGTCATTGCAGGTATCGTACTTAATTTTAATGTAATGCTAATGAGGTTTTTGGAAAACCTGAGGTGTAGACCTTATTTTTTTTAAAAAAGTAATATATTTTTTATAATGCAGGTATTTACTACAAAGGGAGCCCTTAATTCTGGAAGCTGTTTTTTGTGGATACGTTCTTTTGTCTGCAAGGAACAAAGTGGAGTCGATGGGGCTCTACAAGGCTGGCAGTGCCAGCGGTTACCTTGGGTTGCGGCCCATTCGCTTTTAAAATGCAGCTCACTCTATTTATTTCATAATCGGTGTTCCATTAACGAACAAAAATATGGATGTTGTTAAAAACGCACGTAGGCAAGTTAGTTTTAAAACAAAACTCTGGGGTCAGTTCTAGCACAGAGGCAAATAAGTTTAGCTTAATTTCTAAATTACTGTTAACATAAATCTATTACTTATTATTTTTAAAGAAAATAAGTTTTGTATCAATTTTAAACCTTTAAATAGTGTTCTAGATCCCTTAGCCACGTGCTTTGGAAATAATGAATTTATACTCTTGTGTTTGCAGTTTCCTATTTTTTTGTCTTCTAATCATTGAATAACATTTTTAGTTATGTAAGTGTAATACACTTTTAAGTTGTGTAGTAAATGTTGTATTTAATGCTCCAGTAGTCTCTGAATGCAGTTTTAACTGTTAAGCTGTTTTCTTAAGAAACTGTATTCTTAAAAACAGAATTGTAGAAACTAATTTTATTGGTAAAAGTCTGCAAGTATGTGTGTTATCTCCGAAATCCACACATGCTCAGGCATACTGTTATCTCTATTTCTCTCTCTTATAGAGCTGTTACACAGATCTCTGGCAGCAGATGGCTGGACTATAATGCACTGTTAAACAAATACAACCATTAGGCACGTAATACTGCCTGGTAAACGACTGTGTGTAAAATGGTTTAAAAAAATTAAATAGAAAATAAAGTTCATTTTTGAATGCGCTTAATGGAATCGAAATAAAATCCAAACCTTTTTTAGAATACATAAAACATCCCCTCCTCTGTTGTGTTTGTCATTTGAAGTCAGTCTTTTTTTACTACATTCTTGCATCTGGTATAAGATAATCAGTCCTAAATCAGTTTTCTAATAGATGTTTTCTACAAGTAATCGCTCATTTTACATTTATCTTTATAGGAAGATTTTTGCTTTTGTAATACTCCAGCACAAAATTATCTATTGCATTATACGCTATTTTTTCCTCATTTTCAAATTTGATACAAATGTATTAAAATTATGATTCAACACTAGTGTCATGGCTCTGTAATTAAACTGTTTTTCAATAATTGTCAGCAGCTGAGAGATGCCATTTTGTCTTTTTGTTTTTAGATATGCCAATATTTGGTCTTTGCCCGGCTCATGATGATTTCTATTTGGTGATGTGTAACCACTGTAATCAGGTCGTAAAACCACAGGCATTTCAATCACATTATGGTAAGTGCTTAACTATTTTTAATAATTAAGGGTGAGGTTAAATCAGGATTAAGCCTGGCAATTTTTTTTTTAAATTGATGGTACATAGATCCTTACATTATAAATGTCAAAGAACAATAACCTGTGTTTAATCATTTTATATACATTGTCATGCAGTTACGTAAAGATCTTGTTCCTTTTAATTTTTTAATGCCTTCTTGAAATGCTGCGTACATACAGTTCAATTTTTGAAATGGCATATGTAAATAGTGTATTTCACAGACAGTATGTGTAGTGTGTTTGTGTCTGTGTGTGTCATTTCTCCTTGTGTATTTATACAAATTATTGTTACACTGGTTCTGTTGCAGTGTGAACTTGAGGTAAAAGCTAAACTTAAAAATTTTGTTGTAAAACATAATATGCTTGCAGTGGCCAGTAAGCTTATTTATGTATTTTCAGAAGTATCAATTTGTATTTGCTTTACTGGTCCGATGGTTTTGTGTATAAACTATACTAGGAAGCTCTTGTTGTGTTGGTTGGTGTTAGCCAGTGTTTACAGAGGACTGAGAAAATGTGAAGTGCTACGCAAGTTCAAGTGCTCAGTTACTTCCTACAAACCTAACTGGGGGAGATTGGCAGTTCTTCTTTTTCATGCTCAAGACCAGAAATGGATCTCAAACAATTTCCTGCCAATATTTGGATAGGAGGTTTTGGGTATTCAGTATTTTGTTTCTTGAGAAATTCAGGAGATATTTTTCTAACCGAGTGCTAATAAAAGAGATGGACAAAGCATCTTCTGAACTACTCCTTCCTCCCTCTGTGTGTGCGTATTTGTATGTGTTCCCTTTTTCCTAGCTCAGTGCACCTGCTGATTGCCTCAGTGTTTAAAAGGATAGGAAATGCTGGATATGGGGGGGATCTTCTAGTGCTGAGAACAAGGGGTAACTTTTCTTGCATCTTAATGCTTTCAACCCTTTGGCAAGAAAAGGCACACTCACTTCTCCTGCTTCCTAGAGACTGGGGAGGGGTCTTCCTATGCTGTGCAGAGGGTGAACTTATCCTTTCCACCTCTCACTTGGGGTTTTCTGTTATAATGTCTTAGGATTATACCCCTACCCTCGCTGCTGGATTTCTGCAGTCGTGTCGCACAGAATGTCTTGGAGAAGAATTGACAGGTCTTGTGGCGTAGTGCTTACTAGTTTGGTGGTTGTTCTGTGGGTGGCAGTAGTAACAAAATTTTTAAAAAAACCCGCAATTTTGTGGACGTAAGCTTCCAGAGCTATAGGGAGCCAGAAGAACAGAAGAGCATCAGCTTTTCTTACTCTGGTTGCTATAAGCCTTTGTATCAGCATTGCTTCTTTATCATGGGCATGAAAACATGGGGTGTTGTAATGCTTCTTGCACCAAAGTTAAACTTGTTATGTGAAGTTAATTCAAACTCTTCTGTAAGCACCATTTGCCATTTAAAAGGGACAGAGTGAAGAGGGAACTACAAAATGAAGATATGGAAAATATTTTTTTAGAATAAAAGAATAAATACTAATCTAATGTTCCCGTTCTGTATCGCGTTGTAGGAGCGTGATCTCCGAGCATGAAACTTTCTCTGATGTAAACCTTACATCAGTGGCAGCTTCATAGTTTCAGAGAAATGTAGGAGGAGGGGATGAAAATGACAAGGTTATTCTTAGGATTTCTTAAGCCATTCTGAACAATGAAGACGCTCAGCGAGGGCTGCGGCGTGCAGAGGAAACAGGCGGGGTCATTCTGATGAGAAAAACAGGCTTGGGTGGAGTGAACGTCATTACAGGACCTTAGTTTGCCAAACAGCCTCAGAAAGGTGAGGCGGCTGACTTGGGGATTTTATGTAGAGCTAGTGCTCTCCTTGCTTTTTGTCAGCCTTCAAGTCCTTGAAATCCTTAAAGAGTTGTCCCTCAGTTCAGCAAGTTGAATGTGAAAGCTGATTAAATACGGCAGGTGATTGATTACCAGGCAAGGGAGTGTTGTTTTGTTTTTTTTTTTTTTTCAACACAGTGTACTTCTGGAGAAGGAAATTGCTCAAGTCCTCAAAACACACAGTTCTTTTAAAACAGAAAGTACACTATCGTAATAACAACAAAATAATCCACTCTGGATTCAGCACAGTTTTCCCTGAATTAGGTCTTCTATTTGTGGCATTATTTCACAGATTGATAAAGGAGAGAATACTTCAAGTTCTGCAAGATTACAGTGCATCAAGGAAACTGTACCTTTGTGATGTTCTTAGAGTCTTTTAAAGTTATTCATAATTGTTACCAGAGATATAGTAATCCCTTAAAATATTCTGCAACTCCTGGTGGTGTGTGTTGCTTGTACTTGCTGTTCTTTGAAACTTGTCACATGGGATTTTGTTTTCTGAAGTAGAATATGCTCTTCTAAAATGTCACTTTTGTCAAAGGAAGGCTAAACAAACTATTAGCTAAACCTAATGAGCCAATTAATTTCTTCCAAAGCATGTTTGTGATAAACTACTTAACTAGGTAGGCTGAAAGTGCATTGCAGGACATATGCTGGCTTTTTTCCCTGGACCACAAGTAGTCAGAAATAATTTAAATGTAACCTTGTTCACCAGAATATTTGACCTTTTTGGTACAATACTTTATTGATACTAATGACAGACTTTTGTTTGTGACTGATACTTTTATATTTCGTGGATTTGACTAGAAGAGATATTAATTCAAAATTTTACTTTTCGAGACAATCTAAACATGCATTTGGAGTATGAATTGCCGTTTTAATAATTTATTCTATGCTGTTGGTATGTATGCTATCATTGAGTTGTAAAATTCGGTGACATATTTGGTATGCATAACAGCACGTGTAGGTTAGTTTTTAAAAGCAATCCAGTATAATGAGATATCTGAAGTCTGCTTGTGGTATTTCTTTTAGCAGCTGACTGTCAGTGTGCTCAGATGGTGCTGGGGATGTGGTGAGGCAGAAGCAGGCCAGCCAGCTGAGGAGAGTTGTTTCAAGACAAATCCTCTGTTCTGTCAGATCTCAGCTGCTTCATTTGTGGGGCTGGACAAGGGATTTAAGTCCTTTATTGCCAGTATCTTTGCTGCTGCTCTTTGAATCGTTACGCTTTCATGGTGTCATCTTCCTTGGATGGCTCAAGATCAATTCAGAGGGGAAAGATGGAAAAAAAATATAATGTTGAGGCGTTCAGTCCTGTGGGTGCAGCACCTGAGATTACTTATTGTGATGACCTATTCTGAAAAAAAACACAGTATTTTTCTCCAGCTGGAATGTTTCTCTACGCTCTGGATGATCGTGTGCCAGCCTCTCCAACTCCCATGCCACGTAGACTCTCCCTCTGTATTTAAATCATGTGTATTTCTTAAGTTTCTGCACAGTTTCCTCTGTCAATATATTAATTCTTACAGTAAAAATGATTTTACTGTCTGTCAAATTGCTAACTAGCATGCTCCTCAAGAACGCTCCATTGGCAGACAGAGGGATTTTTATTTCCCCTCTCTCTCTCCTTCCCGTGAAAATGTGCTAGATACGGTTCCCATGCTGCACCAAAAGGTTCCTCTTTGAGGAAGCCGTTGTGACAGTTATTTCAGGTTGAAGTGACGTGGTTTTCGGGCTGTATGACCTTTCGTTGGTGTTTCAGCCGTTCCACAGCTTTATCGCATCTCCCTGTGGTTATCAGCCTCCTGTCTGAGGGGAGCTGCTTCTCTGCGCCATCTGGGCTGCTTTGTGGCTCCGAGAGAGCAGGTACCTCAGCAGCCTGGAAGTAGCATCAGTGTAGAGACGTAGGGTTTCTTCCTTCAAATTTTTCCTAGGTTTTTTGCAGAGTTGCTTGTTTCCTCTGTGCCATGGTTTCCGAAAGTACAAAGTGGAGTTCAACTCAGCAATAAAAACGAAGGCTACCAGTAAAACTTCAACTGAGAGCACTTTTGAGTCATGTAGCGATTGTGAAAACCATTAATACAGTATGTATTGGAAAGAGATGATGATAGTGTGTTGGGCTGTTGAGTCATTAAAAAGCTACGTCTAGTGTTTTGATTAACTTCCACCGGTTTGGCATGCAGTGGCAACGGTGAGCAACTACTGTGAGCTTTGCTTGCTGCTGCTCTGTGAGCTGGTAGGAAATCACTTAAGCATTTCAGTTTCCCATCAGTGCATGTTGAAACCTGAAGCATAGGATTCAGAGAAGAGATAATAATGCAGATTTACCCACCTTTTGCGATTTCTAGGAGGCTGTGAGATTGGAATAGAGAACCTTATACTTAGCCTGGAGAGACTAACAGGGCAGATCCTGGCAGTAGAGAAATGTTCATGTGTTATGTGCTTGAGTCCATCCTGCAAGTCAGTGTAAGGTGTCTTGTGAATCTCCTTCATCTAATTGTACAACCGTACTCCTTCCTCCCTCAGCCAGTTCTCACACCCACCTTTCGTTAGCAGGTTTACTGCTTTGACTAGTCATAAGGGTTGTTTTGGTGTTTAGTGCTTGGATTTGGAGAGCACATGTGGTATTTGTTGTGATTTTGGTTGGGATAAATGATCCATTAACTATCCCTGCCAATATGCTGTTGTATTTTGGATGTTGTATCATCTGTAATTTAAGTATTACAGGCCTGGCAGCGTTACATATTTGGGTGCTTCTGATGTACTGTGAATTTAGTATAAATTTATCCTACCTTCCTTCTGTACCTCAAATTTGACAGCAGCTAATTGTTCTGAAAAATCTGACATTTTAAGTATGACAGTATTTAATGTTTTCAGGTTTTGTTTTTTGAAGTTCTGCAGATGTTGCTTGATCAGAATAGAATAAAGTGTTTAGCATGGGTTAAAAGTCAAAATGTCTGCACAAGGCAGCATTTGAAGCAGATAGGGAA